GCATTGCCCCTCCCTGGAGTAGTAGGGAAAGGAGGAAACAGCGACACCCCCAGCCAGGAAGCCCTACTATGCCTGCAGCTTCTTCCCCCATGGCTCATGGCTCTGCCATGGCCTGAGCCTCTTGGTCTGACTGTACCAGAGAATGGGTGTTGGGATCCAGGGGTGGAGCATCAGGGGGCTCTGGGGGTGTCTCTGACCCCAAGCCCAGCTCTGCATTCAGCTGCTCCAGCTCCCCCTGATCCAGCAACTCAAAGTCCTCAGTGGTGAGTGCCTCTTCTTCCTCAGGGGCAGGCAGGGGCTGGGGTGAGTCCTGGGGAAGAGGTAAGAACGCGGAGGAGGAAGGGACTGGGTCACTGTCAGCAAGGCAAAGTGGGGGTGACGGGGTGCTGGGTGGAGCACTGAGGTCACCACTCACGGCCTCTGGGCTCAGGATCTCCACTGGTCCTCCAGGGGAGCACTTCACTCCATCTGGGGAGGACCCTGCCCCATTGAAGTGCGTGTTCACAAAATGAAGGGGGGATGAGAGCCGAAGCAAGGTTTCCTTAGCTGCCACATCTTCTTCCTCTTCCTCTGAGTCCAGGGCTTGCCTTGACAGGGTCTGAGGGGGGCCCAGTAGGTCTTCGGGAGGCACTAGCTCTGCCTCCTCTCCCTCTCCCAGCTCCCGGCTCAGGGCCTCCTCCGGCTCACTTGGCAGGCTCTGTTGGTCCAAATCTGTGTAGAGAACACTGGATTAGGAATCAGCCTGCTGCTCTAACTGGCCACAACAGCCAATCAGTTCAAGGACGAGAACTCAAGACACAGAATGCTGGGCCAAACCTTAGGTGTCAGAGTCTTTCAGGAGCTTAGGGTGGAATGAGAGGGTCAGTTCCCCAAAGAAAAACATTGACAGGGGCCAGAGAACAGAACCAGCACCCCACAGCAGGGAACAGGAAGATGAGGAGGGGCAAGGGGCACCCCATACCCTCAGAGACATCAGTCAGTTGTGGAGTTGTGGCCCGGGATACAGAGAAGCCACCACTCTCCAAGATAGAAGCCTCCTCATCCGACAGCTCTGAGTCTGTGATGGCCAATGCCAGCGCTGTTTTCTTCACATCCACCTGCAGGAGAACCAGGATGAACACAAGTGATAAGAGAACCAATTTTTCAGGGGCACACTCTCCCCCAAAACCTCTGGCTCCCACCCTCTTGAGAGGTGGCAACTCTAAGGCAGACAGATTCTCCCCCAGCCTTCTATTTCACATGCCCATCTCCCCTGGACCTCACCACTGGGGAGAAGCCAGCCAGCTCTGCCTCGCTCTCACTCTCTGTCTCTGCCAGTGGTTCATCACCTCCTGGGGGTAGGTTCTTTCCTTGCCGCTCTAGAGAAGCAAGAGCAGTAGGACAGTGATCAAGCATGAGCAATGATAGGGTACAAACATGATCAAGAAACTCGTGATTTCAGTTTCAGGGCATCTCACGAGCCATAAGCCAAAGCCCTCCCCTACTTTCACCCTCCTGGGTTAAGGGAGCCCTCTTACTCCTCTTGTCGTGTTTGTGATGCAGAGCATCGGCTTCCGCCTTCATGCTGTAGTCCAGCTGCATGAGCAGGGGCTCAAGGCGAGTGTACATCCTCTGGATTAGCTCATGATAAACCACCAGGGGCCACAGCAGGATACTCAGCACTATGGGTTAGAAAGTCCCCTCAGAGCTCCCTATGCCAACTTCCTAAGGGCCCTCATTCACCTAGTCCCTAAACAGGAAGGGCTGAAGGAAGATAAGGTCCTTTCCCAAGGCTGTGCCAACCTCTTCCCTCCATGCCCACTGCCCTCCTCCTCAGATGACTCTCCCTCTGTCACCAATACTACAACATCCCTGGAGACCTCCACAAATAGGTAACTGAGCAGACGGAGCATAGTCCTCCCTCTGGGTCAGACCAGGGGAAGAAGAAAGGAGAGGGCTTTGAGAAGGGCAGGACTAGACCCTACTCACAGACAATGTAGGAAATCATAATTCCTGGAACATAGTGTCCCAGCACAGCCAGCACAGCACAGCCAGAGCAGACTCGAGCACAGAACTGCAGAGAGAGCACAAGGTCTGAGTAAGAAATTGCTGCTCAGCTAGTATGAAGGATGGATATGTCTTCAAGGTATGTGGTGATCAATCTAGTCAAGAGGTTCAAGACCACCAATTCAGAAATTTGCAATAGACACTGCCAAACACCTATAAGTCACACCAATCTGCCTCGGCAGGACAAAGAGGCTATCAGAAGCTTATTCCTTGAGGCATGCCTGCCTCCTGTACCCAGGAATAGCTATGAACGTTGCCTCGAGGCCTTTTCCTTCAGGGTCTCCAACAAGGGAGTTCACATCACACCTCCCCTATCCCCCACCTCTATTTCCCCTTGGGGCAGGGAACTGTTGTATGATGTAGGGGAGGTTACCTGAGCTGGATTCTGCCTCTTGTACTGGAGCAGCTCCTGCAGGTGAATCTGGAAGGTGAGCCAGCTCTCAGCCAGGTATCTGCACAACTCGGGCACACTCAGCAGGTGCGGCTGGGCTCCTGACCCCGTACCCTCACTGGGGAGACATGACATGACCCCTGGAGGCCTCAGACACCAGCTTCCTAGACACTGAAATCCCTCTGAGAATGGCAATGAGATCTTCAGTCTAAAAAGGTAGACAACCCGCCTCCCAAAAAAGGCTGTCTTGGTCTTGGGAAGCAAAGACCAGAAGACCCAACCCTCTGCTCCAAAAGGAGCAGGCACACAAACACCCTGGTCCTAGGAGCCCAGGACCAAGAAAACTTCATGGCTTGTTACTAGTCTATTCACTATGCTGGGGCCTGTGCCTGCAGAAAATGCAGCACTGCCCTGCTCCATGGTGCCATCAGCACCAGCAAGACAGGATTTGGGCATCTGTCTTTGAGACGTGGCCTGCACTCACCTGTCAGAGTGTGGCTCCTCTGGGGAAGATGCTATAGAGAGAGGAGGGGGACAGATTATTGAGTGTTAGTGGCCCTAGGAGACACTCCCCAAGGCAGAAATAGTCATCCCTCCTCTGCAGTCCCAGAGCACTTTTTTCAGATGCCAGTCAAAGGAGATTTTACATGTTATTGTTGTTTGTCTGTCTCCTTTAAACTTCACCCTTTTCAAACGTAGGAACCATATCTTATTCATGTTTATATCCCAAGCAATTCACATACAGCTTGGCACCTGGTTGCTCCAAAATGACTATTAAGTAAATATGCACATAGCACAAGAAACAATGACTTCATATTTACGTAGTTCATATCGTGTGTGCAGTGCGACCGTAAGCATGTAACACATATTAACTCAACTCTCACCGCCCTATGAAGTAAATTCCATCACCCATGTTTTATAGATAAGGAAACTGAGGCAAACAGATTGAGTGCCTTTAACAAGGTCACACATGGTAAGTGGCAGAGCAGGGAATGGAACCCAGGCAATCTGGTGCAGACTCCACAATCTTAACCAATGCACTCACAGTAACATTAATTTTGGGAAAGGGGAAATTCTCGTTTTAGGTAATTTCCCAAAACGGGAGGAGGGATGGGGGTGTATGCCAGGGAGGCAGGTGGCCTGCTAGACATTACCCTCACCATTCAACCCCACCCAGGGGGATCAGGTACCAGGCAAATACCTAAAGGGTGAGTACTAAATGAATAAAACACACTCACCTGAAACATCGGGGAAAAAGCGAGGCTGCCAGAGATCCAGCAGAAAATAGGCCAAAAGTGAGATGCTGACTAGGAAGAAGGGCCGGAGGGACGACGAAGACAGCAACCTTAGGGAGAGACAGGCACCTCAGCGTTGAGTGGGTGACCAGCTCCTGTATCCATTTCCGAAGGCGGAAAAGCGCCCATCGATGGGCAATTGGCACCTCTAGGCCTAACTTACGACCCAGAGAGAGGGAGGAATGGGAAACCTAGGCAGACATCAGCCTTCAAAAACTGGGGGATGGGTCATTCCTACAGGCCAAGTGACAACCCAGAATGGGGAATGGTACTCCCGGTCCCTCCCGCCCCCGCTCAGCCCGGCCCCGCCCCCCTCCTCCGCGGCCGTTACCAGAAGAGGCCGTTGAGCGCGGCCGCCGTGACCAGGCTGTGCAGCGGCTTCTCCCATACCAGCAGCCGCTGCGCCGCCGCCAGCACCGCCTCCCAGCCGCGGAGCCGCAGCCACAGCGTCGTGGCCAGACGTCCCACCGCCTCGGCCGTGGCTGCCTCCTCCTCCGCCTCGCCGGTGGCCTCACCCATGCCTAGGCCCAGACCCAGGCCTAGGCCGAGACTCAGGCCCATCCCCGGGCCCCCACCCGCGCCGGTGTTTCCACCCCCACCGCCGCTCGCCATAGCCCCGCTGCAGCCGCCGCCCGAGCCCGCGAGGAGCCAGGGCTGCGCGGCCGCCGCCGGGGGCGCGTCAGGCGGAAGGGGGCGCCCGCCGAGAAAAGCAGAGGCTGCGGACGGGGATCACGTGAGGGCTGAGCGACGAGCGCATCACATGACGCGCCCTAACTGCCGGGATAGGGCTGCTCGCGCGTGCGCGCCGGTGGCCGCTGGTGATCCTGCGCCGACGCAGGTGTGCGTACGGGCTGTTGAAGTTGTGACCCCCAGGTCAGGGTCCAGATCCCGGCAGACCGGCCCGTTTTCTTCTCGAAGAGTGGGCAAGGCGGCTAGGAAGTCTGGTGCTGGCCCCTATCCCTGACTGGAGGAACAGAAAGCGGGCTTCCAGACGCCGGGTATCCCGGATTAGGATCTGCTACTCGGCAAGGGCGGCGGCCGTCCCATTACTCAACCCTCAACGCACTGGTCCTCCTTGTTCCCTCCCCTCGGCGGGTAAACACACCAGCGCGTGACTTGACAGACTCGAAAACAGCTGCACCTACTCAGAAGTTCCCCATCTCTTTCCGTAAACATCTTTCCAGCCTCCGCGTGTCAGAGTTCCTTCCTCCCCCCACCAAACGTGAGATTGGGGGCGGGAGGTGAGTTTAAAAATAAAACGTTGTTTAGATGCTGTTTATTTGGGGGAGGCAAGTTTACCCTTTTTGACGCTTTTTTGTTTACTTGTGATTACTGCATCTAGTAATCCCACAAAATATGCAATGAGATTTAAAATTTCAAACTGTACTAAAAGGTATGGCAGAAAGTAAGTTTCCCTTCCATCTTACCCACAATTCAGCCCACTGGGAAGTTTCTTGTGTATCCTTTCAGATGGTTTTTATGTACATTGCTAAGTGTGTGTATATCTTCCCTTTTAAAAAAACAATTGGGATCAATTCGTTCTGCGTCTCGTTTTATTCACATTTATATCTACATAGGTGCGAAAACGTCTGCCTGGCTTGTTCATCCTTAGTGTGGTGTGGTCCCCTAGCAACTGTCCCCATTTCTCAGACAAGTGCGCCTGGGACTCAGCTCGCTGACTTGGCCTGGCTCGGTGAGACCAGGAGTTCGGGTCCGGCTCCTTCCCGGCGAGGGCCGGAGTTTGGGCCAAGCAGGCGGCAGGAAGTGCCAGGCGCTGACTCGCGGGCTACACCCCCGTGGCTTGTAAACGCGGGGCAGACGCGGCACAGGCAAAGCTTGAGCCTTGCAGCCTGGGCTCCTCTCCACTGCTCAGGGTGAGCGCCGCACCGATGCCGGGTGCCCCAGGCCTCCGGCCGAGCGACGCGCCCGGGGCGGAACAGGAAGAAGCACCCGCCTGCCGGGGCTCCGCCTGCCGCCGCCAGCGCGAGGGGAGGGGGCTGCGCGGCCGAGGGCGGCGGCCCGTACCGGGGAGGCAGGCGGGCAGGTGGACAAGCGGGCGAGGGCGAGTCTGCGGCTTTCTTACAACTCGTTCCCGTTCCTTCACCTTCTCAGGCCGGCGCTGGCGGCGCGATGGACGTGGCCGGGCTCCTACTGGACGAAGAAGTCACCTTCTCCCTCACCGGCTTCCAGGACTTCATGGTGAGCGTACAGCCTGCCTCCTCCCCAGTCTCCCGGCACTTGGAGGCTGGACCCCGGAAGCTTCCCTCCGAGCCCGAATAGGGCCGCGGCTCGCCTGACTGCTGTGCCCAGGACTGGGCGGCAGCCGTTCGAGCAGTGCCTACTCGAGGCCCCGGCCGCTTAGGCCCTGAGGGAGAGCCGCCGGGTATAGGAATGGGGGTAGAGGTGTCCGGACCAGAGGTCCTTCTCAGAGAACCTCTCCACGGGAGCCCTTGTTGGGGGTGGGGTTATTCCTCCCCCTTGGGACCAGCTGCCATTGGCAAACAATCCAGAGAGCAGGGCTGGATGAGGCGGGCCTGCCTCCCCATACCTCCTTACAGCCTGGAGCCAGGATCTCCATCATACCCTTTCTGCCTTTCACCGCCTGGCTGCCTTGTTTTAGTTCCTCCCAGGACACCAGAAGCTGAGTGCCCGGATCCGAAGGAGACTCTACTATGGCTGGGATTGGGAAGCTGACTGTAGCCTGGAGGAGCTCTCCAGCCCCGTGGCAGGTCAGGCAATGTGTGCCTGGGAAAGCGAGAAGCATGAAAATGGGGTAGTCAGCAGACACCAAAATGACTGGAGGTTTACCCCACGAGTGACACTGTTTTTTCATAGTTAGCTTATTGGTACTTTGTTCAAGAACACATTATGTTCATTCGTTTAACCCAAGTGAGTAAAAAATGTTGCTCTGTCACAAATCTGTATCACTCTTGATTTACATACCAAAACCTTTTAATTTTCTAAGGATTTCTATTACATATACCCCAAGTAAACGGGCATATTTGTTTCTCAGATGAACAACTGTGAAAGACAAATCTGGGTAATTTCAAGTGACAGGGAAATAAGCCTTCCTGCTAGAATGAGCTGAAATTCTGACTTGGAATGGGCTTTTTGTCTCAGTGTGGGAGAATTTGATCTCTATTTTATTACTATGGTCCTGTCCCCAAGGCCTCACAAAATATAGATCTGGGTCTTCTGCTGATAGCAGTGAGGACTGGTGGGTGGGAGCTGTGCACTCACCCTGCCTTCTTTCTGTTCTGTGCAGACATTGCTGTGGAACTGCTCCAGAAGGCAGCCCCCAGCCCTATTCGCCGACTCCAGAAGAAATACGTAGCTCATGTGTCCCGGTGAGCCTGGAATTGAGGAGGATAGGATGAGAATGTTTGGGCCCTAGAGAGAGGAGAATGGTTATCTCTAAAGAGAAGATGTAAAGACAAATAAGCATGAGTTGCAAGAGCCAAAGGACCCTGGGGTTTAATTACTGGTCCTTTCCACCACCCAGGGAGGCATGCATCTCCCCCTGTGCTATGATGCTAGCTCTGGTGTACATTGAGCGGCTCCGGCACCGAAACCCAGACTACCTGCAGCACGTGTCATCCTCTGACTTGTTCCTGATCTCCATGGTAAGACCCCGCATCCCCTTCCTCTCCCTAGTGAGCCAGGAGCCTGGTGTGAGCTCAACTGACACCACTTCTGGTTCCTCTGCAGATGGTGGCCAGTAAGTACCTCTATGATGAAGGGGAGGAGGAGGAGGTCTTCAATGACGAATGGGGAGCTGCTGGGGGTATGGCTGTGCCTACTCTCAATGCCTTAGAGAGGGGCTTCCTGAGTGCCATGGTGAGTAGCTAGCTGTTCTCTTTCTCCATTTCCCTGGCCCATCTTTACCTTCCTTTCATCCTTTGTTCTCTCTTGGCCTTCTGTTGTGTTTCTTCATTTCTTTCTCTGCCTATCTTTGTACCTTTGTGTTAGTATCTTTCCTTCCTGCCCTTTCAGGACTAAGCACAATTTTGGGGGGTTCCTGGAGCAGTGAGGCCAGGATTGGAACATTTCCTCCCCTCCTCTGTTCCTCCAGGGCCTACACTCTGAGTCAGAGCTTATCCTGTTGGGCTCTGAGTGTTTGCTTCCAGACTTTCTCTGCCTTTAAATTCTGAGTTCTCTATGGGCATGGACTATTCTCAGGGTAATTTTCCTCTGTCTTCCTTAATGGAGGGTATAATGTGAAACCAGGTAGATAGTGATTAAATGAGTTAATATATAAAAGCTCTTGGGACAGTGTCCAGCATATGTAAGTGTCAAATAAGCATTAGCCATAGTGCCGGTTGTAGTTCTGCTATGGCTCTAGTTATTACATGACTGTGGCTCATATCTGAGTCTGGGTTGGTGTTCTCTCTTCTTACCCATAGGATTGGCGTCTCTACACTGACCCTCGGGAGATCTTTGAGGTGCTCAGCTGGCTAGAGACCTGGTAGGTCCTAGGAGTTGGAAAGAGGGGCTCAATGGATTTGGGGACTGAGGCCTAAGCTATAGGAGGTAGAGAGGAGGGTATGTATAGTGGGGGAGGGAGGAGACAAGAAAGAGAATTGCCAAGGTAGTGGTTCCCAAACCTATCTGTCCTCTTTGTAATCACCTTCGAGAAGGTGGGAGTGGCTTATGGAAAATATAGGTCTTAGTCTCACCCTCATTTTCTGAATTAGGTAGCCTAGGAATCTGTGTGTTTAGCAAGCTCCCCAGTGCTTTCTGGTGGACCCTGAGGGGTATCAGTGTGTCACTGGGCTGGCTGCAGGAGACTTGTGACTCCCTCTGCTGTCGCTCCCTTTCCACCAGTGTGGCTGAGCAGCAGGGACGGCGGCGGGGCTGGTACACCTACACAGACCTGTGTGTGCTGCTGGAACAACCAACCTGGCAGTTGGCCCTGGGTGCCCTCTGCCAGAGGCTGGTAAAGGTGAGGAGGGGCTGGGAAGTGTAGGGAACTTGTGTGGGCTGGTGTGTAGGGTGTCAGGTAATTGCTGTGCGCTGGTGCCAAGCACTTGGTGAAAAGCTCAGGAGATGGGGTTTAGGAGTAGATGGGGTTTGGGAGTAAATGGGCAGGGTGGGGTGTAAATGGCTATACAGAGTTCCAACTTGAACACAAGTCTCTAGAGAGAAGGGGTTAGTGTATTAAAGACCGTCAGAATCGTGCTTCTTTCTTATTTCCTCTCCTGCAGCTGTCTTGCCTGTTAGCCGTGGCATATGTGAGCAGTGTGGCCCTGGCTGTGGCATCAGTGGCTGTAATACACCAGTCCTTGGGGCTATCCTGCAGCCCTCCACCTGGCCCCCCTGACCTTGGAGTGACCTCCCGGTGCCTCTTGGAGCCCTGCATACCTTCTGTACCACAGTGCCTGCCGTCTCCTGCTAATGTCTCCAGCTGCCCAAAAGGCGACGTAGGGCTGCGTTCACTCTGGGGCAGTCTTCTGGCCTCACTGACTCCCCCTCCGTTGCCTCCCCCAGAACCCCCTGCTCCTCCCACTCTTCTCCATAACTGCCCCCTTTGCCAGAAGCTCCAGAGAGACTCCCCAACCTGCCGTGCCTGCCATCACCCCAATCATACGGTCCCCACTGGGCCTCCCAGCCCCTGGCACCACACCCATGGCCTGGCTCCACCCTGGCCCTGGAGTCCTGTGTCCCCACCCCTACCCCAGCCCCAGCAATGTTCCCTTTTCAGTGTCATGGAGCTGGCCCGCCTCAAGTCTTTCATTTTCCCGGGCTAGGTAGGGCTCTGAGGAATGCATTAAGAGGATTTGGGAGTCCCTGAGAACCTGGGGGAGCAAAGCTTGATTTAGGTGCTCTCTACCTCTCTGGGTCCTTGGAGGGTCCCCTGTCCTCCTGGGTAGAAGCTTAAGGGGTGGTGGGGCAGAAGGACTGAAGGTCGTTCACTCTCCTGGACCTCAGTGGCTGGCTGCTTGGCCAGGGCCGTGATGGTGCCAGAGAAAGCTTCTGCTCAGTGACCAGGGGCATATCACGATGGACATAGGAAAAGCCCCTGTCTCTGCCTTTTCTGGGCTCTTCCAGACTTTTGCTTTTGAGTTCCCTAGGACGGAAGAATAAAGATGGGAGTTGGGGGAAGTGAGGTGAGGGGAGGAAGGAAACATTGACATGGCCTGTGTGATGTCCTGAGGCAGGAGAGCCAGGGACTGATGGGGTCAAGGAGGGAGCTCCTGAGGCAAGGTCAAGCGAGGTGGGAAACCTTCTTTGCTCCCATTCCTTGAATGTAGTCTAATGGAGCCAAGACTGCTGGGGCCTTCAACCTTGACTTTTTGTCTTCCCACCTTTTCTTCTTAGTGCCCTGCTCCTAGGCTTTCCTCTCTTCTGATTCCTCTCCTCTTCCCAGGCCTCTGGCCTCTGCTTTGTATCTGGGTTTTTCATGCTTTTGTAGAACTGAGATTTCAATAAACAGTTTCAGTTGCATGGCCTAGACTTTTGCTTCTGCGACAGCCCTTAAAGATCACTTCTCCCTGTATCTGCCTTCCAAGCCTCCCTACTTCCTGATCCTGTCATCTTGGAAACTGTTTTCTGTGAGCCCCATTTCAGAACTTCCCCTCATCCCTGCTCCCAACACCACAGGGCCCTAGTGCTGCTCAACTTGAGGTGCTGTGGGACACAAATGGTGACTGTCCCATGCCAGGTTTGGCCATATCTGTCATGTGTTCTGGGTGAGCACCATCCTTGTAATCCTGAAGCATGCCTTGCCAAGAGTGGCCAAGCTGCATATCCAGCAGGGGCCCAGGAGCTCCTTGAGGGCAAGCCCTGAGGGCACTTTTTATCCTGATGTCCTCACCAGTCTGACACGTGGTGGTAGTCACGTGGTGTTTGTTTAACAACTTCAAGACTCCAAGCCTGGGTCATCAGTGGAAGAATGAAGAGTCTGGGCATCTCAACGGAGAGTATATGGGACTGCTGAAGATCACTCACAGGAGGGGTGGTACTGCCCCCTAGGGGACATTTTAGAAATTTATGGGCCATTTTTGGTTGTCAGAAGGTTCTGAGGGGATGCTATAGGTGTTTTAGTTGCTAGACATCCTGGAATGCTCAGGACCTCCTGTACTACGAAGAATTCCCAAGATAGTGTTTGAATGACTGGCTGGTGATCATGTCTATGAAAATTCTGTTTATATTTAAGCCTAGGACTATTATTTTACATGTAAACATGAAATAGTTTTTGCACGTTTTGGAAAAAGACTCAGCTTGAGAGGAATGCATCTCCATGTAAATTAGAACAAATTCATTTTGCGCAGCACTCTACCAAGAGTTTGTTTGCCATTTTGGAAAATCAGGTTACCAATGTTAGCACTGCTCGTGGTCTCTGAGTCGACAATAAAGCACCAGTATCAGTTGGCGTTGTAGCTGTTGCATCCACAGCAATTCTACATATGGATGTGGGGATCGGACTACTTCATTGTCTTCCGGTTTAGTTGTGCCAAGCTTTCATGTAATGAAATGCATGTTGTTGTAAATTTTATCTCTACATCACAGTGAGGACATCATACGGAGTTGTGGCTGTTGTCACGTGTGATGTAGGGTATATCATCCACAAGTTTCATTTTGAGGTAGTCCAGGGGGCTTGGTCCTAAAGGAGTTGAGAACTTTGGATCTAGTGGTGACAGTTTTGAATGTTGGTGCTGGGAGAGAGGAAATACAGTCTGCAAAATCTCCCTAGGTTATTTTGATAGGTCTCCTCCCTACCCCTCCTCTCCTACTTTCCAGAACCTGGTCTAGCAGCAGGGGATCTGGATGAAGATTCTTGAGGGAGGAGGTCCAGAACTTGGCTTTCCAGTTAATGGCTGATGGAATTTGCACAAGAGCTGGGCAAAGGTGAAAGGGCCGTGTCCTGCCCCAAATTCCTCATCCCTTGGCTCCGCTTCATTGACACCCCCACCCTTCCCCACCCCCTCCCTAACTTCACCCAAACTCTGACCTCTTACTCTCTACTTAACTCTGGCCCAGGGCTGCCCAGACAAGACAAAAGGCAGGGCAGCATGAGCGGATCACACCCCCATCCCATCCAACTCCGATCGGTGGGCTCCCAGGATGTCCTAGCTCCCCTGCCACCACCTGCTCCCCAGAATCACTCTTCCCACTCCTGGCCCTCTCTGTGTGGGCCTCCACCCTGGGGCCTCAGCTGTCTTCTGGCTCTGCAGGTAGGAAACAGAGGTGTAGGAGTTGGTGCTGGGTGAAGTGGGTGCTTGGGGGAGGAGGTGTGGCATGAGAAGGCCTCTGGAAATAGGTAGTTCCTCCTCTTTCTGAAGACTTCCCCTTCCTGTTCCTCCACCTGCAGCATATCTTGGTCTTGGCATCTCTGCTTTGTGCCTCCCACCTGCTCCTGCTTCACAGTCTTGCCCCAGAAGGACTCTCTTTCTCCCCTTCTCAGCTTCTGGCCTCCAGCTTCTTTTCATGTGGTGTGTCTACTGTCCTGCAAACTTGGATGGGCAGCAGGTGAGGGGAACTTCTCTGGGGGAGAGGGGTGGGGCCCTGAGATGGGGGGTAGGAGAGGCTGGGGGGAGTGCTATTGGCTGCCACATGTTTTCAGACTTGCTGGGGCTGCTGTTCCTACAGGCTGCCTCTTATCCAGGCTCCATCCTTAGAGTTCCTTATCCCTGCTCTGGTGCTGACCAACCAAAAGCTACCTCTGGCCATAGAGACACCTGGAAACTGTGAGCACAGAGCAAGGGCAAGGGGTAAGGGTGGGACTGGATGTTTATCTGAGCATACAGGTGTGGTGGGTGCGGGATTGAGATTGGGCAGTGGTAGGACTGCTAGGCTCTGTAGGGGTCTTGCAGCTGGGCCAGGCACCAGCTAGGACTATAGAGCAATGGGTCTCCATCCCATGTACCTTTTTCCTCTGCATGTCCCAAACTTCTCCCAGCCTCCCTCTTGCTGCGCCTGTGTAAGGGGCCTGGCTGCCATGGCCTGAAGCTCTGGAACACTTCTCTCCAAGAGGTGAGCACATGGGGATGGGAAGCAGGAGGGATAAAGGTGGCCAGGCCTGGGGAGGCTTTCATTTCCATTATGTAGGTATTGAGATGCTCTGGGGAAGGAGTCTGGGGAGGGACCCATACCTGAATTAGTTAGCAAGTCCAGGCTGAGGTCAGTTTGATTGAGCAGAATGTTTCTCTCCATCTTCTCCTCTTGCAGGTGTCCGGGGCAGTGGTGGTGTCTGGGCTGCTGCAGGGTGCACTGGGGCTGCTGGGGAGTCCTGGCCGCTTGTTCTCCCACTGTGGGCCCCTGGTGCTGGCCCCCAGCCTGGTTGTGGCAGGGTTCTCTGCCCACAGGGAGGTGGCCCAGTTTTGTTCCACTCACTGGGGCCTGGCCCTGCTGTACGTGAGTCCTGAGATGCATGGGATGGTGCCCAGTGGGGTGTGGACTGCAGGAGGGGAGAGCTGCTGGCCCTATCAGAGTCAGCAGTGACCCAAGCAGGAGCAACCCTTTTTATATTTGGAATCCAAGACTTTTCCTTGATTCACCTGGTCTCCCTGACTTTCACACTGTCTTCTGCTGTCCCCCAAGGAGCCTTCCCCCCCTTCCATGAGGGTTTCTTCTCTGAGACCCCCTTTTATGGTATTCTGCCCACTCCTACCTCTTTCACCACCCCTCAGGATGTCTGCTGCCTCTCACTCCTAAAGCTCCTTCTCTCTCCTAGGGTTATCCTGCTCATGGTGGTCTGTTCTCAGCACCTGGGCTCCTGTCATGTACCCGCATTCCCCTGGAGGCCAGCATCGACCTCTTCAACTCACACTCACCTCCCTGCCTTCCGGCTGCTCTCGGTATGTGGGGGTCTGGGCAGGGGCAGCGGAGGTCAGAAGGGCTGGCATGGAATGCTCACTTCACCCCCTAGCTTTTGGCTTCCATCTACCCCTCTTGAGGCTGGCTCAGAAGGTTCTGGGGGAGGAGTTCTTCCCCATCTCAGTCTTGCCCCTCAGGTGCTGATCCCTGTAGCCTGTGTGTGGATCACCTCTGCCCTTCTGGGTGTCGGTGTTGTCCCCCTAGAGCTGTCTGCCCCCACCAAGGCACCGTGGTTTTGGCTGCCTCACCCAGGTAGGTTTTCTCCTAGTCCTCCGCCCTCGTGCTCAAATAAAGATACCTACTTCTGTGAACTCAAGATTTAATGGATTTCATTCCTAAGTCAAATCCTGTATTTTCTCAAAATGCACAGAGAGAAATTGCCAATGTGAGCGGCAATTCCAGCCCCTTACCAAAGGTGGTTTACTAGGGGCAGTGCTGGGAGACAGACAGCTATAGTTAATGCATACCCCACCATGCACTACTGCTACTAACCCAATTGACACACTTATGTTACCATCCCCATGGGTGTTTGAGTTGGCAACCTACATAGAAAGATTGCTTTCGAGGCAATGTACGTGAAATCTGCTCATTCATCAACTTAGGGCTCTCTTGAGTGATGATTATGTGCTAGGCATGTGGCAGGGGAGGTGGTAATTAGCATGATAGACACAGTACCTGCCTTCATGGAGCTTACAGTCTATTGGGGAATACAGATACTAATTAGTCATCCAAGTAAATGTAACATTGCCATTATGGTAAGTGTAACCAACGGGAAATACATTGTGAGATGAGGGCTTGCAATGGGGAATTCAACTTTATCAGGGAGGTCGGGAAAGGTATTGCTGAGGAAGTGATTATTGAGCTGAGATGTGAAAAATGAGAAGGAGCTAAGTGGACAAAGGCAGGACAGAAGAGCATTCTGGGTAGTGAGAACAGCATAGGCAAAGGCCCTGTGATGGCTGGGAGCACAGCAAGTACAAGGACCCAAAACAAGGCCGGTGTGCCTTGGTGAAGGAAGTGAGGTGGAACGTGGTAGGAAATGAGGCTGGAGAGAAAGGGAAGGGTCAGACCAAAGAGGACTCTGTAGAACATAGGAAAGGGATGCGTCTCCTTAGAGTTCAGTGGTTTTGTTCTAAGACATCATCTCCAAACACGTTATGGCATTCTTGTGGCACAGGCCATTGGAGGCAGGGGGATGCTCCTGACTTGAGTCTGGCCCCAAGGTGGCTCCTTCTCCCTCTCCAGGTGAGTGGGACTGGCCTTTGCTGACGCCCAGGGCTCTGGCTGCAGGCATCTCCATGGCCTTGGCAGCCTCCACCAGCTCCCTGGGCTGCTACGCCCTGTGTGGCCGGCTGCTGCACTTGCCTCCTCCTCCTCCACATGCCTGCAGTCGAGGGCTGAGCCTGGAGGGGCTGGGCAGTGTGCTGGCTGGGCTGCTGGGCAGCCCCATGGGCACTTCATCCAGCTTTCCCAATGTGGGCACAGTCAGTCTTATCCAGGTAGGTGGACCCAGGAAGGGGATGGGGGTGGGAGCTGGGGGTGCAGGAGAGGGAAGGAACTCACACTGATTGATCACCAGCTGTGCCCAGCACTGGGTCAGACACTTCACATCGTTATCTCACTTAGAGAGGTGGCTAGAAGTGGTAAGGGGCTAAGAGCTTGGGGACACGAATGAATCACTACTGAACTCCTGTGCATCAGGCACTGCACCAGGCTGGGCTAAAGAACAAGTCACATAAAGTCCTGCTCTCTTGGGGACTTCATAGAGGGAGAGGCAGATGATTGAAGAGAAAATAAAGAAAATTTCAGTGAGTGAAAGTGCTATTAAGAAAAATCAGGCTAGTGAGTAAAGGAGGCACGTTTAGATGGAGTGGTCAAGGATGCTTCCTGGAAGGGTAACATTTGAGTTGGGATCCAAATGATGAGAAGGAGCTGGCCAGGCAAAGACCTGGAACAGTCCGAGGAAGTGGATGTTTCTAGTGTCTCTTCTTCACGTAGGCTGGATCTCGGCGAGTGGCCCACTTAGTGGGGCTGCTCTGTGTGGGGCTTGGGCTCTCCCCGAGGCTGGCTCAGCTCCTCACCAGCATCCCGCTGCCTGTGCTCGGTGAGTGGATGTAGCAAGAGGACTGGTATTGAACCAGTACTGCCCAGTGTGGCCTGGCCAGTCGCAAAGGCTGGCACCCTTTCTTTCTAAATAGCCTTCCTGGATGGATAGGTAGCTGGACATGAGCACGTGTCAGCTGCCCTCGATTTCTCAGCCCAATGTCTTGGCTTCTTGACTGGGCTTCTGGGCTTCTTGCACAATCAAAAATGAGCCTTTTCATTCTCCCTCCCCATCACAACTTGCCCGCCCTGCAATGCCCTGTGCTGCACGAGCCCTCTCCAAACCCCCTTGATTTCTTCTGTATGAGACAGGTGGGGTGCTGGGGGTGACGCAGGCAGTCGTTCTGTCCACTGGATTCTCCAGCTTCCACTTGGCTGACATTGACTCTGGGCGGAATGTCTTCATTGTGGGCTTCTCCATCTTCATGGCCCTGCTTCTGCCAAGATGGTTTCGGGAAGCCCCGGTCCTGCTCAGCACAGGTGTGTGGAGTGGGGAGGGGAAGAGGAGTTGCTCAGTAGTGGGAAAGCAAGGGGCTGAGGCTTCAGGCTCTCTGGACTCCGGCCCCACACCCTTCCCTTGGCTTTGGTGTAAGCAGTTCATCCATTTGCTTAACAAATATTTATTGAGCACCATGCTAGCCACGTGGGATACAAAGGTCCCTCCAGGAGTTACAGTCTAGTAAAGAGATGAGAATGTGTAGGAAAATGACAAGAAAGGTTCAGATAAAGAGCTGTGGTGCTCAGCAGCAAGAGATGGCTTCTGTTTGAGGTAATTCAGTAACATGGAGCTGGTCTTGAAGGATGGTAAGTTTTAAACATATTTGGTGAAAACAAGGTTATTCCTGATGGAGAAACCATTGTAAACAAATACATAGATGTAGGAAGTCACGGGATATATCCTGAGAGCAGCAAATAGCTCAGTTTGTCTAGAGTAGTGGTTCTCAACTGGGGGTGATTTTGCTCTGCAGGGACATTTGGCAATGTCTGGAGACATTTTTGACTGTTACAGATGGCAGAAGGGGGGATTCTTACTAGTGTTTAGTGCACAGAGAGATGCTGCTAAACATCCTATAATGCACAGACTGCTCCCTGCCTCAAACAAAGAATTATCTGGTCCAATATGTCAGTAATACAAAAGTTGAGAAACCCAGGAGAGAGCAGAAGGTAAGAAGTGTAAGATAAGGTTGCGGATTTTAATACCAAATTTTCCAGAGAAAGGAAGCTTGGAACAGTCACAGCACACCTAGAGGGTGAGTTGAGCAGGGATCCTTGGGAAGGGCTTGGGTATGGGGAATGGAGAGTAGAGGGACAAAGGGTGAGGGGGATGAAATGATAATTCAGAAAGACTTGTATTTAGTCTAAGACTTAGGTTTAGGTCTGGAAGGATATGCCTCCCTGGCCTTGGGTACAGGATCAGGGTTCCCTTCCTGCCCGGCCCCAACCCCTTGTAGGCTGGAGCCCCTTGGATGTGTTACTGCACTCACTGCTGACAGAGCCCATCTTCCTGGCTGGACTCTTGGGCTTCCTCCTAGAGAACACCATTCCTGGTAAGTTGAGATCAAGCCCTAGCAGACTGGGGAATGGCCTGAAGTCACATTCCCTGGGTTGGGCAATGGCCTGATCAACTTCTCTTTTGCAGGCACACGGCTTGAGCGAGGCCTAGGTCAAGGGCTGCCATCTCCTTTTGCTGGCCAAGAGGCTCAGATACTGCAGAAGTCCAGGGAGAAGGCTGCTCAAGAGTATGGGCTTCCTTTCCCTACCCAAAACCTGTGTCCCTGCATCCCCCAGCGTCTCTGTTGCCTCTGCCCACTGCCTGAAGACCCTGGGGATGAGGAAGGGGGGTCCTCTGAGCCAGGAGAGATGTCAGACTTGCTGCCTGGCTCCGGGGAACCATGCCCTGCATCTAGCAGAGAAGGGCTTGGGTCCCAGTAATTACCAAGACTCCTCCTTCTACCCTGGTTAGTTTAGTCCTAACTCCCAGCTTACTGGAGAGTCATCTCCCAGGCTCTGTTTTCTCACAGGGAGAGGATGTGTGTGTGTGTGTGTGTGTGTGTGTGTGTGTATATGTCTAACATGGGCCCATCTAGAATGCCCATTTCCCAATAGGGTGGGTTGCCTTTCCTTCTCTGAATTAGGTCTAACTGTTCCAGAGAGAGGCCATGGTTTAGTGGGCCATGAATGAATGAATGAAAGATTTTGCCTGTGAACTACTCAATGCCACTTCAACTCCAGCATTCACTTAATAAATACTTACTGAGCCCCTCCCATGTGCAAGGTCCTGGAACTACAGATATGGATAAGACAGGTCCCTGCCCTCCCAGGCATTTACAGTTTAAAAAAAGCCTATGTAATTACTAATTAAAATGCAAAGCAGAAGGCATTCTGTAATAAAGATTAAAATAATGCTGTGGGAGCAAAGAGGAAGGAACAATTAATTCTGAAAGAATTATGAAAGAAACACTGAGGTGGCCTTGACAAGTGAGGATTTTTAATTTTTCAGGTTCAGGGATCCAGCTTGAGCAGAACCATGAGTTGTACAAAATACAAGATGAGTCGAGGGGTTTCAAGTTTCTCAGTGGTGATGGAGCATAAGTGTGGGGGTGGACAGAGGAGAGGTAAATGATGTCAGACTACGAAGTTTATGCCTGCGAAATGCCTCTCTTATAGACTCTAATGCCACTGAGGACATTAAAACAAAACAAAACTGGACAGGTAGGGGAGGGAAGAGAAGTAACTTGAGTTCGACAAACACAAACCTTGGCTCCCCTCTCCTGCACCTTCTTCCGGTATTCTTTCTACTCCGCCAGCGTGACTCCAAGAAGCGCCACTACCCTCAATTTCTCTACTGGCGGGCTGCCAGGCCTCTCTACTTCCCGCGGCCACTGTGGCCCTCGGCTCTGGGCGCTCCTTTAATCCGCTTTCCGGGCCCAGAGCCCCGCCCACTCCAGGCCTGGGCTCCACCCCCGTGCCCCAAGACACCGCCTCCAGTGTGGGGGGGAATCTGCCTCTACTCTAGGCCTTTCGATTTACCCGGGCGGGCGTGCCTGCCGCGAGGAGGGCGGGAGCTCTCGCGGCAGCCGACGGTAGGTGGGATCGAGCTCGAGTCGGGGCCGGAGCCGGGCGGCGACGGGCTGCTCAGATCCTGCGGGTCTAGCCTGGCGCGGGCGCCTTCTCCCAGGAGGGACCGCGCGCGGCCGGGGATCTGGGGCAGGCCTCCAGGAGTGGGCGGGGCCGCACAGGCCGCGCGTGCGCAGTCCGCCTCCGGAGTCAAGGCGGGTATTGTGGGGCTTCGGTGAGGTGGTTCTTTGCCCGCCGCTTGATGCGACGAAGCTGCAGCTGGTTGGCTTTGTTACCCCTTGAAGGGTCCCGAGCCGCACCTTAGTGCAGCCGGTGCAGCAGACGGACGGCGAAGCCTCTTATAGCCAGGGGGATGTTAGCTGGACGCCAGGCGGGGCTCCTGGGTGGGGCTGTGGTACTGGGACTGAGGGTTCACCCTTTCCCAGGGTGACAGGGCGCGGCCCAGCCTGATGGTCTCTGGGGCCTTGCTGCCCTCTGCAGAGTGTCCGAGGAACTGTCCCCAGAGAGGGGCTCACGGCTGAGGAGCGGAACTTGGTGCAGATAACGATTCTCAGGGGACTTGACCCCCGCTTTCCCCCGCCAGAGCCTCTTCCACTTCACTCAAGAGTACTAAACGCGTGAATGGGTTAACGTGAATATTAAAGGCAGCCTTGAAGGAAGAAAGAAAAGGGGAAATTTAGGGGCCTCAGCCACAGAACGAGAGGCTCAGTGGTGGAAGCAGTCAGACCCGGTCTGGTGCTGAATGTGTCAGACCTTTTTATAGGGCCAGTTGCTCCTGGTCACATTTTTAACTACCCTCCACGCCCCCCACCCTACAAAAATCCCGTTAATTTGAGGGTTCTGAGCTTCCAGGCTTTCTGAAGGAGTGGACTAGAATAATAAACCCAATTTTGGTGACTCTTAAAGTGTACACTGGGGAGTGCCTATAAGGGAGAAAAAGGGTTTGGCGACTTTAATTTGCGTTGGTGACCTTTGGCAATGTGGAACTTTTATCCAGTGAAGACTAGCCTAATCATTCTAAGACCATTTCTGGGAACAGCACGTGGGAAATGGGAGGGAAATACCATCTTCCAAACACAAGAGTCTGAGACTCCTGCATAGTTATATTACACCTGTGTAGTTACTGTGCAGGTTGAGTTAGGTCACAAGGCAGTGCTTCAAAAACTAGGTTATGGTTAGAATGATGGCTTACTGAGATGGAAATCACTGTGTGAATTAGACTTAACAAGGAATTTCATTATTTTCTTTATATTCTAGATTCTGCCCCCCAGCCCCCGTGCTTCTCTTCATTGTGTATTTGTAGATGAGAATAATGAAGGAGATTTGGTCACCCTTCCCCACCCCAGGAAAAATAATCAAACTCTGTCAAGCAGCCGTATCTACTGAATATTTACTAGGTTAAGGCTACTACTTTAGCTATTGAGGTAGAAAAGTTAGTTTCTAGGGGCTCCAGGCTGTGCAACAGGGCATGATACCATTGGTGGCAGTGCCCTAGGGTGGGATATGGGGCAATGAGTTAAGTGGAACTTAATTCAGTGTCTTTACCTCTGTGATATGCTGTGCCTTGTATTCATGACTTCCTAATCATTCAGGCCCTTGTTGAAATGGGACGTGGGTCTTTTCTGTTGCTCCTGGACACAGAGCTTCTTAGCTTTTTTTGTGTGTGTCATTGATCCCTTTGAGAATTTGCTAATAGCTGTGGACCTCCTCTCCCCATCCCATGTACACACAAAATTTTGTGCATGTACACACAAAATTTTCATATAATTCCAGAGGATTCACATGCATTGACTCTGGATTAAGAACCTCTGTTTTTTTCAACACTTGTGAGAATAAAATTGAAAAAAAAAAGGACCTCTGTTTTAGGGATTTTTTTTAATCCTGAGAGCTTCCAAAGCTTTGTTTTTAGATAATGATCAAATAATTTGAATTTCCTGGCCATGACACTTATGACTTCTGATGTTTTATAACATAAGAACTATTCCTTTTCTTCTAGTTCTGGGAAAGGGTAGCATTGACTGTTTATTAGGACTATGAGACCAGGCAAGGTGGCTCATGCCTGTAATCCTAGCACTCTGGGAGGCCAAGGCAGGAGGACTGCTTGAGCTGAGGAGTTGAGCTGAGGAGTTCTAGACCAGCTTGAACAAGAGTGAGACCCCATCTCTACTAAAAATAGAAAAAAGTAGCCGGGCATGGTGGTACACACTTGTAGTCTCAGCTACTCGGGAGGCTGAGGCAGGAGGATCGCTTGAGCCCAGGAGTTTGAGGTTGCTGTGAGCTAGGCCGATGCCACGGCACTCTAGACTGGGCAACAGAGTGAGACTCTGTCTCAAAAAAAAAGAAAAAAAAATGTGGTAAAGATGCAACAAGTGCGCTTTAGGTTTCCACATTGTTTTATTATTAGAAAGCAGAAATACTAACAGCAATATGCTGAGGCTTAAACGTTATGGAAGAAAGAGTTTTGTACCCTCTAGGAACTTAATGTGGGGGAAAAAACCCCTTAAGACTCTAAATATTAATGGATTTTTAGTAGCCAAGAGGTAGTAAGGTGAGCGCTCAACTGGTTATATACTGGGGAACATAAATTCATGCCTTCTGTTTTATCAGGGAGGATTTTCAGGAGATTTTTAGTTGATATAGAGCTTTTTGAGTGGTGCCTTCTCTAGGCCTGCATGAACCTGGAGGCACTTTGCTAAATTAGAACTTTCCTGCAGATGGAGGAACTGGAGCAGGGCCTGTTGATGCAGCCATGGGCATGGCTACAACTAGCCGAGAACTCCCTCTTGGCCAAGGCTTTTATCACCAAGCAAGGATATGCCTTGCTGGTTTCGGATCTTCAACAGGTGTGGCATGAACAGGTGGACACTAATGTGGTCAGCCAGCGAGCCAAGGTAAGTATAAAGAGAAGTGCTGCTGTCGGGTGGTGGGGGGCTGATACCATTCTTTCCTAGTGAAGGTCAGGGGACATTCACATCAGCTTGCTGGCCCATAGGTTGCCAAGCAAAGTTGAACTGGGTTGAGACAATTCCAATTAACACCCTGCACTTCTGCCCATAGCCCTGGGATCTTTTCTTGTGTGTGGGCAGGCATGTGTTGATGAGAAAGAGAGTTAGTTTCTGTACTATATGCAGGATAATACATAATGTGATCTATATTATCTGATCTATATAGGCCTTCTGTAAATTGGTCTTGCCCAAGGTAGAATTGTGAAGTAGGTCAGTTAATCTTTGTGACTCTTTTTGTTTTCTTCTTTGGGTTCTGATGTTTTTATCTTCCCTTCCCTTCCTTGCATGCCCATTGTCTTCATGTTAACCAGGGCTTTCCTTTGCTATTACTTATGAAGGAGTCAGTTTCCTTTTATCACCCTTACTCTGTATAGCTGTTGTCTCTCTAGGAGCTGAACAAGCGGCTGACTGCTCCCCCTGCGGCTTTTCTCTGTCATTTGGATAATCTGCTTCGCCCATTGTTGATGGACACTGCTCACCCTAGTGAAGCTACCTTCTCCTGTGAATGTGAGGCAGAGGCACTGATTTTACGGGTGCGGAGTGAGCTGTCTGGTCTCCCCTTCTATTGGAATTTCCACTGCACCCTAGCTAGTCCTTCCCTGGTAAGTGCAATTAGAATATGGGGTGGCAGGAGGGAGGCCAGCTACTTCGAGAGGAAGCTTTAGGTGCTCTTATTTTTTTGTACAGCCTATTCGAAATTGTTCTCCAATCAGGAAACTTTCCTTAACTAGACAGAGGGCAAAAAGGATTCTTGTCTGGTATATCCTTTCCTTGTAAAAGGAGCAGAGTTTGAGTCTACACTCCTTACGGGAGTCTTTATTCATTTATTTTATCAAAAATTTTTAAGCATCTACTATGAGCTAATTGTTGGGTATTCAGACTTGAAACAATATAGCCTCTTCCTGGAGTTCATAAATTAATGAGAAGACAGGAAATTATGATACAGTATGGTAAATTCTGTGATCGAGTTAGGCCCAGGATGGTTGAGGATTAGAGAAAACCTGTTTGAAGAGACAGTTTCTGAGCTGAGTTTTGAAGAGGAATAGGAACTAGTTGGGAGAAAATAAAGAGAAAAGTCATTCTAGGCAAAAGGTGCAGAGATGTGTAAGTGTAGGGCAAGTTCAGGAACTCATGACTGAAGTATAGATAGGAAGGAATGAGAAATGAGGTAGGCAGTGGACAGATCTTGAAGGAGTCTAATGAGGTTGGATTTTATCCCAAAGGTAGTAGGGATTCATTGAAAAACTT